GTGAGTGAACACATAGCGGCGTTCGCCCACTTCTCGATCCTGTCACGGCTCTCTGCCGTGACAGGGGAGGGGCTGGATTCCCCCCTCCGCGCTCCGATCCTCCAGTGCTGACTGGCGGAACGGACAGGGGAGGGGTCGGGTACAGCTGGCTCTGCCTCTAGATAGGCAGAGCCAGCTGTCACAAACGCAGCTGGGCGGATCTCGACATAATTGTCGAGATCAGTTTCAGCTGTGGCGTTTCAGTATACTGTGAGCTGTAGCTTGCGGTATACTGAGCTTAGGGTGACGGGAGGACCCTAGTTTGTGTCCTCCTATTACCCTAAGAAGAACTATGGGGGAAAGCCCTAACCCCATAGTTCTCCTTTAACACACAAAGTTAACTAATTAAATGATAAGAAGTGTTATCTTCTACTGGCTCCTTGACTGTTTGAGGTCTAATATTTGGGCTGCCACCACCATGTTGATACCAGACTGAACATATCTGAGGATGCATAGAGAGGGGCCTCCAAATAAGAAGCAGTATTGCAAAAGGATCATCACCTAAAGCATACAGACACTGAGCTTATCCACAATAGAAAGAGATACAGAATTTGAACAGTGCGTTTTACGTGTCATGTATATTACCCAGTCCATATAAGTTGATTCCCCTCATCTTTGATGCCAAAGAAAGCCAACAAATATATTTATGATTTCTGTTTATTGAAACATAAAGCACCCCGAGATTATTAAAAACAAAATGTTAATTAGGGTCTCTTCATTCTGATCTGGCCTATTTCAGATTTCTAGTTGCTAAAATTCTCTGTCTGAGGTGAGACCCGATGTCTGTTTATGTATTCTCCCACCTTCAGCCAAAGATCAATTTATATATATTTTTTTTATCCTGTGATATCCCCACACCCTATTCCTTTTTTCTCTGGTAGTCCCCATATGGCTCCTTTAATTATTTATTCAGGTCTTTTGATATAGTTTTGTTGCTAGTTTTCCTTTTTCTTTTCCTTTCTTTTATTTCTTTTTCTTTTTTATTTCTATTGCGGGTTATAATTACTGGAATAGAATATATCGGGCTGTATTCCTTACTTTGGAGATATATACAATGCTATAACTGAGTGTATGCTTTAAACTGATTCCGACACAATGTTTTAAGATCTAGACATGAAGTATGGTCACTTCTACATAAAGACGGTGTTGAATCGATTAATGATATGACCTAATGCTCTGTTTGTCGGAACTCATTTCAATGTTATATTATGGTGAGATATAGGACATTTGTTATATGTTGGTATGATAATTATAACTTTATTAAATAAAAATAAATATAGATTTACCAAAATATAATGCCCTTTACTGAAAACACAATCCTCCTGTCCCATCGCACTCCTGACCGGACAAAAACCCAAATCCAACTGGGTGGGTGCGGTGTGACAATGGATGCCTCCATGAAATGTAGATAGATTAAAGTAGTCACTCAAAGTAGTAAAGTAGTCATATTAGCAAGGAGATGTGTGTTATCTCAGTCAATAAACAGCATTGACTTTAATATCATGGAGTGCTAGTGACTACTTTTATTCTATTTACTGAAAACAGCTGAACTCAAAAACTTGGAGGGGTGGCCACAGAGCTTTGGTCATATTGTAGGCGTAATGGTTTGGTGTCCACAAATCATTCCATTGCAGACATTGGAATACTATCATCTAATGTTGAACTGTCCGCAGTGGTCTATTGGACCATTCTCTATAAAGAAAATCCTGCACAAGTATGAGAAATGAAATAGGTGACAATATACTTTATGGTCTGATTTCTGTTTTTCCCTGATATCAGTACTCACTCCAGTGAATTAGAGAAAAAGAACCTGGTGAGATTCAGGTAAACCAACACACTGCACAGATTTACTGACATTCAAACTTCTCTCTATTTTAAATTGCATTCCTCTTTGTTTTACCATCTCCTTTCTCAGACTGATTTTTCAATGTCCCCTATGAACACCTGAGGTAATCTCAGTATGGTAATGAGAAAAGCTGCAGCATCTGTATGTCTTTATGGGGGGAAACTTGGAAAATATCTCACTGAAAAAAGAAATCCCCTATTGCAGGGGGTGCTACAATTTTATTTGTATTACAGTGCAGATATTTTGGAAGAGTGGTGAGCCAATCAAACAACCAATATCTGGAATCTTAAATGAAATATGAAAACCAATAGAATACTTTGCTTTATCTACCATATATACTCGAGTATAAGCCGAGATTTTCAGCCCATTTTTTTGGCTGAAAAGTGCCCCTCTCGACTTATACTTGAGTCAGCGTCAGGTTTCTTCTTACTTACCTCGCCGAGCATCGCGTCACTGCTGCTCCGGTGGGCGGCGCTCCGAGCGGGGTCATCTGGCAGTCTCCGGGTCCTAATTTAGGTGGCCGGATACTGCCAGATGACCCCGCTCGGAGCGCCGCCCACCGGAGCAGCAGTGACGCGACGCATCTTTTAAATAAATATTCATGTAATTTATTGGTATCTATCTACCAGTAGCTGCCTTATATTCGAGTCAATACTTTTTCCCAGTTTTTTGTGGTAAAATTAGGTACCTCGGCTTATATTCGGGACGGCTTATACTCGAGTATACTTTTTTTGGTTCCACGTTGATATGATTGGTATGGCTGACAATTTCCAGCTGACACACCATTAGCTCTGTCACATATATAACCTATACAGAGTCTAGAATAGAACACATTCCACAGATGTACTTCATACTTTCACATTCCCATTGCAAGATAAAAAGACAAGTAAGATGTGTTTAAATGAGGCAGAGACATGGTTCATGCATGGATTAAAGATATTGTTTACTTAGGTTCCATCAAATAAAACTATATATATTTTTAATACAAAGTTATAAATATAAGAGAGCACAGCAGAAGATGTTCCCCTTAAAACATCCTGTCTAGATCTGAAACTGATGTGCAGGGAAGGAAGGTGGAGCAGTCTCTGCACTGATTACACTTTGTGCAGCTGAAGTCCACAAACAATAGGCAGCACGTATGAAAAGGAACCAAGAGCTTCACCTGCTGGCTGAGGGGATGAGAATCTCCATTATGGCTCGCAGGATCGCCTCTTTGGTTTTGTAAAACGTGGTTTAAGAATTATATCTCTCAGGGGGTCCGTTGGTGTGTTTAGGAAAAAGAGTGCGGTGGACCAGATCAAGTTCAAGCTGCTCGCCCGGGTACCCCGGGAACAAATCTTAGGACATGGCAGTGACGGTGGTTTGAAGATCTTCAATATGCTAAGGAACACTGCAAATTCATTTGTTTTTCCAACGTCAAGAAGTCATTTTATCGGTAGCGGCCAGAAATGTCCTTTGAAGCAGTAGCTTAAGTTTTCAAAGAGGGCCGCATCTTGACAGGAGACCTCCTGTTGTTCAGGAGGTAAGTGTGGTGGAAGACTGTCGTTAGCGGAGCCGTTGATTGCATCAGCCAATTAGAGGGAATAGACAAGATGCCCTGAAGAGGAAGGTGGAGATGCCATCTTTGCCAGGCGCGCCATAGGTGAAGAGGCTGGAGTCTGTAACTGAGTCTGGGATGCAGACTTTCATTTATGCATGAGGCAGTCACTCGCATGTAGATGTTAAATTAAAGCTAAAGTTCTGATTTGTTTTTAAACTCACTTGTACATGATTGGGCATTTAGAGTGAACAGAGGTTAACCTTGTTTACTCAACTAAGCGAACATACAGACTGTAAAGTCAACAAGCTTTACTTCCTAAGTACATCAACCACAATTTGTCTTTGTCTTTAGATAAGACCTGTGTTCATGTCTTCAGAACATAACTTACTTCTCTCCTTGGTAATTGCTCTGCTGTCCAATAAGATTTCTCATTTAAATGAAGGTAGTCTCACATTCAGAGCATGAAAGCAGCTCTTCTCCTTTGTGGATCTTCTGGTGTCCAATAGGATTTCTTTTTAATGTAAAGCTTTTGTCACTATCTAAGCAGGGAAATGGTTTCTGTCTAGTGTGAGTCCTCTGGTGAAAAGTAAGATTCAACTTTATGGTTAAACATTTGCCACATTCTGAACATTAATATGGTTTATCTCCTGTGTGGATCCTCTGGTACAGAGTAAGATACTTCTTTTGTGAGAAGGACTTGTCACATTCTGAACATCGAAATGGCTTCTCTCCAGTGTGAATCCTGTGGTGGTGAGTACGTTTTTCCTTGTGTGAGAAGCACTTGTCACATTCTGAACATTGAAATGGCTTCTCTCCAGTGTGTATCATCTGGTGACTAGTAAGATTTCCCTTAGTTGTGAAGCACTTGTCGCATTCTGAACATCGAAATGGCTTCCCTCCTGTGTGACTCTTCTGGTGTCCAGTAAGATGTGCCTTATTTTTGAAGCACTTGTCGCATTCTGAACATCGAAATGGCTTCTCTCCAGTGTGAATCCTCCGGTGTGCAGTAAGATTTCCCTTAGTTATGAAGCACTTGTTACATTGTGAGCATAGAAATAGATTCTCTCCAGTGTGAATCCTCTGGTGTTGAGTAAGATTTCCCTTAGTAGTGAAGCACTTGTAACATTCTGAACATAGAAATGGTTTCTCTCCAGTGTGACTCCTCTGGTGTACAGTAAGTTTTTGCTTATGTGTGAAGCACTTGTCACATTATGAGCATTTAAATTGTTTCTCTCCAGTATGAGTCCGCTGGTGCAGAGTAAGATGTTCCTTGTGTGTGAAGCACTTGTCACATTCTGAACATTGAAATGGCTTCTCTCCAGTGTGTATCACCTGGTGTTTAGTAAGATTTTCCTTATTTGTGAAGCTCTTTTCACATTCTGAGCATTTAAATGGTTTCTCCCCCGTATGAGTCCTCTGGTGAACAATAAGTTTTTCCTTTTGTCTGAAGCACTTGTCACATTCTGAACATTGAAATGGCTTCTCTCCAGTATGAGTCCTCTGGTGTAAAGTAAGGTTATGCTTTTGAGTGAAGAACTTGTCACATTCTGAACATAGAAATAGATTCTCTCCAGTGTGTAACATCTGGTGTTTAGTAAGATTTCCCTTAGTTGTGAAGCACTTTTCACATTCTGAGCATTTAAATGGTTTCTCTCCCGTATGAATCCTTTGGTGAATAGTAAGATTTCCCTTAGTTGTGAAGCATTTGTCACATTCTGAACATCGAAATAGCATCTCTCCAGTGTGAATCCTCTGGTGTAAAGTAAGAGTTCCCTTAGCAGCGAAGCACTTGTCACATTCTGAACATCTAAATGGCTTCGATCCTGTGTGACTCCTCTGGTGAATAGCAAGTTTATCCTTTTGTGTGAAGCACTTGTCACATTCTGAACATCGAAATAGCTTCTCTCCATTGTGAATCCTCTGGTGTGTAGAAAGATTTCCCTTAGTAGTGAAGCACTTGTCACATTGTGAACATCTAAATGGCTTCCATCTTGTGTGACGACTCTGGTCTTGAGGAAGATGTGTCTTATCAAATAATTTCTCTTCATTATGAACCTTCTGGTGGATTCTAAGAAATGACTGTGAAATAAAGCTTCTCTCACACTCTGAGTACTCATATAGATTGTCTCCTCTGGGATCCATCATGTGCTAACGAATAACAACTTAGCAGTGATATATTTTCAGACTGCTCAAATGATAATTGTAGAAATGATGTTGAATTCCTGAAAAAAGAAATTAACTATTATAGAATCATAGAATATTGACAACAAATAAAGAGAATCTAACCAAGGAAACATTTCACATGATGCCTGCCATAGAGGTTTGTATGCCGCATCTTCTTTTGTGTGGTCTTCTGGCTAGGATTGTCGGACAAGCCACGCAGTTTCTTTAATTTATGTAAAAGGCTGTACATGTAAGAGTTTAACATTTTCTATGTTACTTCAAAGTGTATACCATTAAGGAGCAAAAGCAAAAGATCAAAGACTAAACCTATATGGTTTAATAAAACTGTAATGAAGATATATATATATTCCTGGGAAGGTTGACAGATGTTTTTAATAGATACAGCGGTATGACTCCCCCTCTTGACCGGACACAAGACAGCCCTTGGGAACAACAACTAAAGTCCGCTCTCCACCGAGGGCTCCATACTCATATTGGGGACTTTATCCGACGTCACATGGTGACACACAAGACAGGGAAACCTAAGACTGGCTACGCTGTGGTGGATGACACCAACACTATCGAGGCAAAACCCCTCGACTTCCATCTGTCAGCACAAGCAGCTGAACTGGTAGCCCTGACCAGAGCTTGTGTACTAGCGAGAGGTCTCAGCCTCACGGTCTATACAGACAGTCAATATGCCTTCAGTATTGTCCACAGTTTTGCGGCACAGTGGAAGGAAAGAGGTATGCTCACCTCCACAGGGAAAGACATAAGACACAAAGAGTTAATATTGGAATTACTGGCTGCAATTAAATTACCCAGCCAGGTTGCAGTCTGTAAATGCACAGCACACACCACAGGACAGGATAGAGTCTCCAAAGGCAACAGACGAGCAGACCTGGCTGCAAAGCAAGCTGCTAGCCTAATCATACTCACACATGTGAACACACAAGAGTGGTGGGAGGAGTTGGCACATTTCCAGAAAGAGGCTAACAGCCAGGAACACAATAAATGGTTAAAAGCAGGAGCACATCTGAATGCAGACAGAATTTATGAAGTACAAGGGAAAGCATGTCTACCCAAGACACTGTTTAGATTGGCAGCATTGGTGACACATAATTGGTTCAGCAAAGATGTTTTCGCTTTCATTAGCTATTCCCAGAATACAGACAGATTAATTAAATACTTCACATAATTGATTGTAATGAAGAAGAGACATTTATTTTGTATCAACAGTGACTTTCCTACAATATACATGTACACTAGGGATGCACCAATACCACTTTTTTAAGGCCGATTATGAGTACCGATACTTTTTTTCAAGTACTCACTGATACCAATTACCGATACTTTTTTTCTAAAGCAATACTAAATCATGATTTTAGGTCAGTTTCTTAATATTATGAAGAACATGAACATGAAATGAACATGAAATTAATATTTATCATGCCATTGCTAACTAAGGCTTGTATCACCATAGTGGGGAAAATAGATGAGCACATGTCCAGACTTTAGACAAGAACATTCTGTAGTGTGGCACAGCTATATCCAATTCTGCATACCTGGCTTTATATTATAAGAACTTTATAATATAAAGCCAGGTATGCAGAATTGGATACAGCTGTGCCACACTATACAATAATACACTGTTCTGGAGTCTGGACA